CTCATATATCTGCGTAAATGTGTTCAAGAATTCGCTGCTAAATACACTGCAACAACCCAAAAAGCGGAGTAATCCTTCCCAAAAAAAACTGACATCGACTGTGAAGGGAATAGAAAGACAGCCGGAAAGGCTCACTTCCTATATTATGCAGCCAAAATGAGACGACAGGTTCACGCCGGTCATCGCGGATGACCTCATTTGGCAACTTACTGTTCAAAAATTTAAATTTGTGTTCATCCAAAACAGGACGTTTTAAATGCTGTCGGGCCGGCGGTAAAATACGACTTTTTAATTCCTCTTCTGTAAATAGTTTTTTCATTAACTTTCTGGCATAATCACCGTAACTTGTGCCAGCAATATCCAACAGATTTTCATTCTCATAATTCTTAAAATAAAAAAACACAAGCTAAAACCTATGATTTATAATGAAAATAATTCCCTTACCATTTCAGATGGACGTTGAGTTTGACTTCCATCTTGATATGCGTCTAGTTCTCTGTTCGTCTGCAAGAGAAAAAGGCAAACGGATTAGTATAAATAAACTGCGCTATATCTTTGAAGAACATTTACTGTTCCATTCATTTTAGCCCATTTATCTATCTTTTTTGATAAATCTATGAATCGTTGATCGATTTTTCGGGCCATTATTCCAGTGTGCATATCCAGAGCTGAGTAAAAACGTGCAAAAGCAGCACCTGAAATGCAAGAACAAAACAAACATTCTATTCCGACCTAAACATAGAAGTGAAAAAACTGACTAGAAGATCACTGCTGTGCTCACATTTTTTTTTATTAGATTATTCTAGGCGTTTAAGCGATAAAGCTTGCTCAGCAACGAGTGAAAACGGCACAGTACCTGATGTCTCTTGAATTTCAAATTCATTTCGTCTTTCACTAAATTCTTCTTCATCTTCATTAATTAACGTACCTCGATCGACTGGAGATCGTGAACGCTGTGTACGTGTATGATTTGAAAGATCTATTTCAAATTAAAACAAACTTCTTAAAGGCAAAACATATACAAAAATGCCTTTTCTAATTTACCTTCTAATGGACGACGATAACCATTATCTCTCATTGCTTGACTTACTGGACGAACGGGTCCACGTAACGAAGAAGTTTCATTTTGACGACGCGTTGACATATTAAATTCATCTAGCTGTTCATTCTCCGTCTCTTCTACTTCAGTTTCCTCGACTGGATCTTCTAGAGCAGAAATAAAGAAAACATTACATAAAAGCACTAGATATCGAAGAGGTTTTCTTACTACCTTCGTCTTCTTCTTCCGGAGACGACTGCGACTGTGATGCTCTCGTCAAACGTGTCTGTTCGGCCATACAAAGTCCAAATGTGCCTTCAACGAAGAAAATAAAAGACGCAAAAGGATTCGAATCAGATGTAAAAATTCCAAATATACCCTTTGTAACAATCTTCGCTTCAATTTGTTTTTTTTTAATTATGACTGTAGCTGTATCTTCCACAATACGCTTAATACTTGTCTTTGCTGAAATCATGTACGATTCCGTTTCATTAAAATATAGCAAATAGTGTGAAGGTGGTGGTACGTGCTGTGTAGGTGTGTACACGGTTCGTACAGTCCTAGGTCGCTGTGTAGCACAAGCAGATGCCATAATGAAGTTTCCACGACACAATTTTATCTGTAATAAAAAAAGAGAAGTCAAGATACCGTAAGAAGAGGAAAGACTAGAAAACTAACTGGAATTGATTTCTTTGCCTTCTATCCGCCTTCTATTCTCGAACATCTGACAGTTCAGTTTGTCAAGAAAACGGTAAGAAAATGCTAAAAAATACAGTCATTTTATTTACACAAAGTTATGACTAATCATGTTCACCATAGGCCGACACAGGTGTAACAACGAAATGATCATTAAATCGGAATAAAATAGAATGCTTATCAAACAAATCTGTACATACAATTTTGTGAACAATTTTATCTTTTCTCAAAACGAAAAAATAATAATCCAGTATTTCTTTTAATTGATTATAATATTTCGAACCCTTGAACAAATCACTAAAAGCACATTTTTTCAG